AAAACCATGCACCACGTTTGAATCACGTCGTTTTACTAATGGAAAGTAAAATATGGGCTCAAGTTTCATTCGATGATGTCCAATCTACAAAAAGAGGACGATGAGGGTGGGGCTACGATAAAAAACATATCCATTACCATTTGTGACACTGCAATTCCATTACGTGCAACTCATGATGGCGTCCGAAAACGATAATGATAAAATTTAGTGAAGATTCTACCGATATTTGGCATTAATATCCAAATTGTACAAGTTTTCTCAAAAATCAAAAAACAATATTTCGAGATGTAACTGCAAAGTGGTAATATCGAACAGGCTGAGATATGTGCATTCCGTAAGACGGATTCAATGAAGTTACATTGCCAAGGAAATGAAAATTAACAAAAGCAAATGGAAAAAGTAATGTTTATAGATATAGGAAGATGTGGTATGAGTGCCAATGAGATAACTCTCCATCCAAGTTACAATTTATAAAAGTAAACCATTATAGGTCAAGGTAAGGCTTTCAACACGGAGCATTGGCTCACACCGAACAGCAAGCTATAAAGGGCCCCACAAAATTACTCGTGTGAAACCATTCAAACGGAAAAACCAACGGTCTAATCTATATAAAAACGAGAAACGAGAAACACGTATGAACTACATAAACAGACGACAACTACTGTAATCAGATACCTGATATTACCTATATTTTGGTATTTTTGAATATTAAATGAGATATTGTTGACAGAAAATATATTATCTATATATATACAAATACTCCTATAAATTTGTCATTATGTTCTTATTCGTTGAAGACTATCCATCAAATTTCAAATAAAGTGGATATAAGGAATTATAGGCAACTGTACGGCCTTCAACAATGAGAAAAACGCATATAGTATAGTTGGCTATAAAAGGCCCCGACATGAAAAATATGAAACAATGCAATTGAGAAAACTAGCGGCCTAATTTATAACAAAACAGTTCACGAAAAACAAATATGACAGACGTGAACCAACGACAACCACTGAACTACAGGCTCCTGACTTGGGACAGGCACATAAAAATGTTGCAGGGTTAAACATGTTTTTGAGCGCTCAACTATCCCCCTAACCTGGGACAGTTGTGTAACAGCACAACATAAGAACAAACTATAAAAATCAGTTAAAAAAGGCTAAACTCTAATAAAGCATTTATCAACTTAAACCGAAAACCCTGTTCCCTGGAGTGTCTTATAAAGAAAACAAACACTTGTAATATAGGATCAACTCGCTAAGGTAAACAAACGTAATGTCAATTTTTTGCACATAAGCCACTGTAATTTTACATTCCATCACAATCTTCAAAGATAAAAGATAAATATGAGCTTAAAGTCTAATTCTTTAAAACAAAATTAACATTCATTTCAAGATTTGCTTCTTAACGAACTTTGCTGCACGAATGTAGAACTTCAAATAACCATTATAAGTAAAAACATTTAACAAGAAAATGTTTTGGCTCGAAATCAAATTTCGTGCTATTAACATATCAATATTATATTATAATGAATATACTGCATTGCTGCCTTTGTTCATCCAATCGACAAACAAAGATATCTTATATATGTTGTATTGTCCTTAAGGCGAAGTGTACGTAATTAACTACTCCACAGAATTTTTTTAAATTTTACATGTGGATTCTGCTTGTAAAAATACATCACACAATAAAATAAAAAAAGGGGGTAACCGTTTTCGTTTTTCAGATACAAGCTGTTGAAATTAACAGCATGATAAGCCAAAAATACAAAGGATATATAGGGAAAATCATAAAAATCGGCAGTTATTTTTACTTTATCAAGATTTTCTAATTCGTTGCTCCACAGATTTTTTTTAAAAATCGATATGCGACTCAAAAATGAACGACGAACCCATTGGTGCAAAGAAAGTCCTTAGCAACCGTGCTAGTTTTCAAGCTATATCCTGTGGAAGTTTGATTTCTAGCGGAAAGAATAAAAACAATCGGCGACGTTATTGATGTCTACTGTAACGTCATCACAATTTCTACTCTATAACGCTATTATACCGTACAGTGTCGTAACAAAATCGTGAGTGTGTATAACCCATTTTCCTAATTATTGCAAATGCTCAAGCGTTAATTTCTGTGTCATTTGGACTCTTGTGGAGAGTTGTCTTATTGGCAATCATGTCACATGTTCTTTTTTTTTATTGTAATGTTCTAATAATTATGAATCAAATATCAAGTTTAAAATTGTCCCAGTAAACACAGCGTTGACAGAATGATTCTATACGTATTTAAATAATCGGTTATAATATTGGGATCGCGTATACACGTCTTTTTTAAAATCTTATTTCTGCATGTTTGTATTTTAAAAAAGTGAATTTAATTTGCTGCATCTTTTCATCCTCACCATTTCCGGCGCTATTCGAGGGATTGCGCACAAAGCCCATTTTTTGTCAGGTTCACACGCGTGCACGTGACACAACTCTGCAATTTTATTTAAAAAATTTTGTCTCGATCGCTTTCCCTTTTCTTTAACTACACGACAAAGCATGATTTAATGTTTGCTGGAGATTTTAAGTAAAAAAGGAAATAATTTTTTTGTTCCATAATTTGTTTAATATCCACATGCACGACTCCCAAAAAATAAGAAAACTGCATCTACATATTATCTTGAGAATTTTTATGACTGTAAAGGTCAAAAGAAGAACCCGCATATGAATTTTAGCAAAGTAAAACAGATCGGAGTTTTAACTTCACGTAGCACAGATCATTCCCAGTGTTAGCCTTAGCATTGCGTATATTGTGTATAATGCTATAGCATTGTGTATTGTGTAATGCTAAAGCTTTGTGCATAGTGATATGCTATAAATTAATGTACTGGTGTAATGCTATAAGAATGTACCAAGAGCGATGCTATACGAGTTTACCTAGTATAGTGCCATACAAATTGTTCCTGTATATAATGCAAATGAATTGCAGTTTTGTTAATATAATATGAACATAAGGAGCTGTGGTATGATTGAAATGAGACAACTATCTGCCACGTTTAAGGTAGATCGGGTTTCTTTTTCTGAGCGTCCGTTCTGATCATGTTAATTGCAAAAACTTTTTTGTTTTAAAAATATTTTACCAAGTATCATTTAATATACAACAAAATACCTAAAACTTGAAGTTTAAAGATTGAACTATCAAGAAATTAAGTGTCGTAAAGTATATTTAAAATTTTTGGGGATTTTTTCAAGAAAATAAGGCCCGTGACCCCTTATTTTTATTTGATATTTCGGAGTTATTAATGAAAAGCAATTCTCTCATCGAATTTTAGCCAATTCTATCGTTTAATGTTTCCGCAATAAGGAAAACTTAAGTTTCCCCTATATCAACAATATAAAAAAACCCAAATTTCGTTATTTCAATGTGTTATTACGAAAAAACAAGGTCCGTGATCCCCAGTTTTTATATTGAAATTAAAAATTACATTGACACAGAAGTCTTACAGAAGTTTAAGAAAAATCTATCGTCCAACATTTAGACACTCCAGCTACCTTAAAGGATGTGGATGTAAGCAAGGCAATCATACGGCCTTCAACAATGAGAAAATCCATACCGTATATAGTCGCCGGGTTATAAAAAGCCCCGACATTGTAGAACTATTATTCTTCACCCCTACCCCTTCTTCCCCTACCTTATACTACTGCTGAATGATACACAAAAGCACAACAAAAGAGAACAAATTTCGCTATCCCTTCGAAATCGGAATTTGATTAAGAAAAAATAACACGTTCTATTTTTATCATACATGTGTAGTTTCAGTTTCAACCATGGTTCTAAATTTAGATTTTACTTTCCCCAAAAATTGCGGACGGAATAGAAGACACCTGTTTATTTTCTGCACCTTGAAAACTGAGATTTGGATGACATAGATTTTACATATTCTGAGATAAATGTAATAGTGAACAATTCTTAGTTTCTGAGTGTGTAATGTTTTGTGGACGGAATCTGATGGGTTTTTTTTTTTGCTGTTGGCTTTTTCTTCGGCTTATAAATGTTGTACTAGTGGTCGATTACCCCTTAGTATCTTTTATACTTTTTACATAAATAATAAAATATAAAACATCATAAAATTTTCAATCGCATAAAAACGGACATGCCAACGTCTTTCTTGTTCAAGACACAAATTCACATGCAATATAATTATTCGTTACCTACAATTTTACGCTACATGATCTACAGTACACTGTGCATTTTATTCAAAACTATGGTTTTTCAAAAAATATTGTGGGGTCAATTCTGGTTTGATTTTAATGAATTTGATACGAATAGAAGCAGAATTGTCACTGGTTTATTTTTTATTGGTTATAATTTTGTTGTTTAGGCGTTTTTACCTTCTGTTGAAATAAACACGAGTCGTATTGTATACCTGCTCCTGCGTGTCTAAAACAAAAACAGTGGTAATAGAGTCAGACTAACTCACAATAGGATACTCAGATTTCTGATTGGAGTCATTCTAATTATTTCTTTGAAGTTTTGAGATAGCACATGAATACTTGTTTGAATTCATGATAGACCGCACGAAGTCATTTCTCTTTCATGTGCCCATTTTTCCTTTCTTGGAGTAGGGGAGATAACCTGCGTAACTAACGACGCACGTTTTTTATCCTGAATTCCGCTAGAGGCGTGCAATTACGTACACTTCGCCTTAATCAAAACACCATAACCTACTATTATTACATGTAGTAAACAAAAACACGTGTTGGGCTACCTTTGATAAATTCATTTATGAATATTAGTCATGATTTGTGATAACAGTACAGAAATAATCTTTCCATAAGAGAAGCACATTGCATATGAAGCACGAAAGCATTTCATTTAAAAAAAAGTGTACGTGTTCAACGATATCATAACCCTACAAAACTGCAAAAAAAAAAGCATTCAATTCTTATAATTATATTTAAACTCTATTAAAACAAGAAACTACGAATTGAAATAGCCTTGGTAATAAATAAAAAATGATTTTTTAGGTAAGATGGGACAGACAAAATATAGGCATATATAAAATGGGATGTGAGGGACTTTTTGAGCTAAAGTTGTGGTAAGTATTAAGTGCAATACATTTTTGCAATGAATTGTATAGAGGTATGGGATTTAACATTAAAATCAGATACAAGCATCCTTAAAATATTTGTTTTTAATATTTCAGCCATCATATTTTCTAATCATAGTCCGTTTCATTTACCAACGAATCTATTCAGTTCCACAGGGTTACTTTCTGATAATTTCCTATTGTTCAGAAAAAAAGTATAAGGGAGAATATCAGAAAAAGGAAAAAGGAGCATGACCAAAAGAATAGAAAGATAAACGCTTGTCCTCAAACAAAAGAACTATGCCATATCAAAACAATCTCGGATGAAATTGGATATTACAAAAAAAAAAGCATCAACAACACTCATGTAACGACATAATCTGTTCATTTTCATTTGATTTTTAGTTGAAACAACCATATCTATGGGCATTTTCGTAAAATAAATAACTTACTACCTTTCTGTTTGATAGGCAGTTTAAATAAATTTTTGTCATTAATCCTACCCATTCTTGCAGTGATACACTTTCAAGTAATAGCAGTACAATACAGAATGAGGAAACTGATAATTATCACAATACCGGACAATGGTTAAGGAAAAGAGAAAGTGTCAAACACCAAAATGCTTTAAATACAATCAAAACAAATGAATGTGATCCAGAGGATTACCTTATTCCTATATATTCAGATGTAGCAGGTAAGACAATTTCTTGTTGAAATGATTAATTAACTTTAAAAGTGAAAACATTACAGTTTGCAAATTTTAATTCTTGTGAAAACAATCACGTATAGCACAAAACCGGCCTAACTGTCTGTAACCAAGAATAAGAATATAAAAATGTGTATTATAGTTATATCAACTAAAAATGCTGTTGTTTTATATTACTATGAGCATATTACATATACAGAATACACATCTTGTAAGAAAGACATATTTTTGCCTACATTCACTTTATTTGAACTTTGGTGGATAGTTGTCTCATTGGCAACCATACCTCATCTCCTTATTTTTATATATAAAATATTTAATTTTTCCGACGTTTTACATTACATTTACAACTAACATCTATGTATTCCGATCGACCGGCCGTTTCGAATTTGCAGTGAAATGCGTGATTGTATTGTCTTTTGAGCACTGCTCTTTTATTTGTGTTGGGTCAACGGCGCGTGGGGATTTCGATACTAAATATTCATAAGATATTTTGATTACCTACTGGTTCCCATATATGAATCCCATTCTCATCTCATAAAGTCATAACTAGGGTATTCTTTCCGATATAGATATATTAAGATACCAGTCAATTTTGTTTCGACAATATTGAAGGAACGATAAAGGTTGTATCATTTTTATGCATCTTCAAATGAAAGGATAACGATAGTAAAAATGTGTGGCACTACCTTGTTTACTTGCAGTGCAAAAAGGCACATGTTTTTAGAAGTAGTGTAATGAAATAAATCAAACGTTAATGATAGACAGTTCCTGTAATGATTCAACACAACCAATTGCTAAGGAAGGTGCAAATAATTAAACTTAAGAGATATTATTTATAAAATGTACATACCGTGCTTATATAATGCCGTTATGCATTACCTTTTTTTTAACAGTCAGCGCTATTTGGGAATACCAGAGAGTTTCTAAGTGGAGAAAATATCCTTCCGGAATAAATGTAAAGATTGAAAAAGCATTTCAAAGGAAGAAATCAGGGAAAATCATTATCGAAATGGATCGCACAACGTAAGATTTAATTTTTATTTTGATAAATGTAAGGCGTAATCTTAAACCTGACATTTGAAGAAAAAATGAACACTTAAATATAAAATACAATAAAGAACAGCATCAAATTACAGTATGCAGGAACATAAGAGATGTAACACATTTTTAATTATAAATTCCAAAATGTTTAGATCGAAAAAGCATAGCAGAAAACACAAGACGCATCGTTATTGAAATGGATCGCACAACGTAAATCTTTTAATTATTTAGTAAGATTACGAGATCATAAAAACAAATTAAGAGTAAAACACGAAAAGAACAATTACAAGCTATGGCATGTTTTAAAAACTTAAATTTTAACTAAACCTGTTAATTACGAGACAAATATTTCACATTGCACAATAGTGTGTTAATGTCGTTGTATTAAACAGATATATTTGAAGCTATATCAGATTAATTAATTCAACATGATATTAGTGGGTTATTGTGTTCTTAAAGTGAAATATGTAATCTTTTATAAAGGTCATATTTTGTCTTTTAACTAATATTTCCGATTGAAATTATAATTGATTTTGGTTAGAACCATGAATCGATGTAATGAACTCAAATAATAAATGTATCGATGTTGTATGCTTGCAAATAAGAAAACTATCCAAATATGCTTATTAAACATAAATTCAAGCAACAGTAATCAACTAATGTTCAAATCTAATAAATCGATTAAAATAAAACAATAAAAAATTGAAAGGAATCGTTACAACTCCAAAAGGATCAAGACTGCAGGTGTCGACAAGGTAATCGTCTCCTGCTATACATGCACAACCTTTTATGTGAATCTATATTCAAGCAAAATTTCACAATCGGTAAAATTACTGATCAGACGACTATTTTGTTATCTAAAAATGTAAGACCGCAAAAACATGTCGCTAGTGAGTTGAAACACAGGGCAGTTTTTGTAAAGGAGAAGACCTATAATAATTTGAACATGCACGAACGTAACTTATTAAGTTATATATGTAAATGTCATGCGATGATGCAGAGGGTGTATGTATCTGCTGATAACGGGAATGTTGACAATCGTCAGGTTTTTAATTAATTCTAGATTGAAGTCGTCCATCTGTGGTGATATCATAGAAAATGTCAAAATATGCAGCAGACTTTCTTGTTTCAGTAGTATCCTATTTCTCTGGTTCTATGGAATATATGAGTGCAAGCACGCAATGAATTGTGAGCAATTAATGACAGGACATCATCTAAATATCTTCTAACGGAATTTAAGAAACCTCGCATCTGTTTGTCTTTGAGAAGATTCAGTATGAGTTCTGCTTCATATGAGTAAACGTCAGCCAGTACGGATTCGCACTTAGTTCCCATTTGAATACCGATTGTTTGCTGAAATATCAATCTACTTCATTCAACAAATATTTTGTTGATCAAAAAGTCCAGCATTCTGATGATATCATGTTGGAATTTGAATTACCTATAACAAGGAATTTGTATATACGATTCTTATTTCTGAAGAAAAAGTTATGATATTACTGCAAAATTGTAAAGATTGCGATTGAAGATTATTGGAATTTTTAAGGAATCCACATCTGATTGACACACCTGGTTGATAATTTTCAACGGCAATATTTTAATTAAGTAATAATGGTGGTTAGAGATTAAGAAAGATGTTTAGTAGCACATTTTGACTACCCGACTATATATTGTTCTTTATAAGAATTACTGTGAAAGTAATGTATGCTGTATAAAAACAGGAGTTTTTCATCGTCCTGTTTTATGTTAAAACCAAAGGCGAAAAGAACTGATTTTTTAAAAATTTTCTTATATCTCCTCAAAATGATGATAAACAGATATCAACCAAACGGGCAGAAAAACGTATAAAATAATTATTAGCAATATCTTCTTAAACAAAGAGGCACGAAATTTTCCGGTCACCATCACGAATTGGTTGATTGATACGATATATGTGTGTCTCAATTGACTAGTGAAAGGTTTTCGCAGTCAAAGATCTTTAGATTCCAAAATAGTCGTCTAATTTGTAATTTTACAGATTGTGTCGAATTCCCTATTGTGACATTTTGACTGAATTAAAATGGTGACAGATGTATGCATAGCAAAAGACATGTATCTTTTCGACACCCACATGCTTCTTTTATGCGATTCCCTCAATTGTTTGTGTTGTATCCTTGATTTGTCTTCTTAATCGAATTATAAGATTTGAGCATCGTTTCACTACTGTTGCCTGTATTAATATTTGTACATGTTGTTTATAACATTATATTGTATTCAAACAGGACAATTCAATTAAAAAAATAATGATGTCAATGTTCTTTAAAGTCTTTAGATAACATTTATTTATGTCAAGATAATATGATCGAATACCATGAAAAAAGTATTTTGATATAATACGAAATTCTACTTTATTACAGATATATTATCCATTTTTCGAGAATGGTACAAGAAAATTTTAAAAATAAGACTATACTGGCTGTTAGGAGGAAAGGTAAGTCATATATTTGATTACATAATTCTTGACTTCTGCAAGCCATCTTTCTGCTTGTCGAATTATTAGAAAGAAAGAAAAAACACGTGAGCAATTATGTAACATTATACAATTATTGACTTTTGATAAGGTTGATACAATGTGTTATCAACCCCAGAGATATGATATTCACCAAGGGCAACGGCCGAGAGTGAATGTTATATCTCTGGGGTTTATAAGTCATTGTATCAGCTGATATCAAAAGTCAACAATTGGTTTATTATATGACTTTTTATCCTTCTCCATTTTATTAGTATTTGCTCAAGATACTTTTAAAACCGTTCCTTGTTTATAATAAATATATCATCTGCTTTTGCAGTTGCTCACTTTTATAAGTTGTAATTCAGTAAAGTTTTCTTAAAAAGAATACATCGAAAACAAGAAGAAGATAAAAAAAAAACACGGAAAACAAGAAAGGAAAAAAAAAACGAAAAGTTGCATGACGTCAGAAACCTACGTCATTGACGTTGCGTTAGAATATCTATATTTAGGTTTACGTTAGCTGTTCCAAATCTTATATTAACCTATCATGATTTTTCCCGCGGTGAGATGAGCAAATGAGAAAAGGGATTTTTTTTAGTCATATAATAATTCATTTTATTTACATGTTATAATTTCCAACAATTATAAAAAATGATCTACTGGACTTGAACTATCGGCAAGAAAAAAGTAAAGCATGAAAATGTAACAGAGGAAGCAAACAGTCTTAACAAAATCATTGATTATTTCTTCATAATCAAAATATATGAAGAGACAAGTGAACGGTCACATTCATAATGTATGCTGCAGGGTATTATTGGTTATCAAAGTACGTAGTTCTGATCAATTTTCTTGATTAATAAAAAATGATACTTAAAAAAAACCGACAAATTAAATTAAACCCAGTTAAAGTTTAATACTGGTATCATTAATGACTTATAAACTCGTCAGATATACAAGAATTACAATATTGTACGAAAAACATGCGTTTCGTCTATAAAAGACTAATCAGTGACACTCGAATAAAAACAAGTTTAAAAGGCCAATAAAGTACGAAGTTGAAGAACATTGGAAACCCAAATTCCGAAAGTTTTGCCAAATACTAACATATAATTGCTCTTTTCAGATATATCACATGTCTTTCCTGCAAAGAGCCCTTTTTTCATCGCTTTTGTTTTATTATAAAAGATTTATTAAAATAACATTACTTTTTCAACCTATTTTCTCTAATCTTATGTGTTCCTGCTCTTATCCATACAAATATTCCATCACTTTAGTTTAAAGGTGCTGCGCATGCCTTTTGCCCTTATTTACCATTAAGCAGCAAAAGTGGAATTATTTATTATCATCCAATCAGCATTTTAAGATAAACTACGCAATCATTGCATGGGGGTTTGTTAAATACGGAAGGAACACTGTGCTAACATCAAACTGTATATCTCAGAAATTTTATATTTGAATATAAAAATATATGTTTTTATCAACAATAATTTTAATAGACCAGATCTTCACAATTAACTCACTAATTGGAAATTAACTGAAGAAACAACAAAATCATGTTTAAGGCCTTGTCTGTTGTATTGGATGTGTAAAATGTGTCTATGTTTGAGTTGCATAATTTTGATTATTTTCCAATAGTGTTACATGTTGTTTATAGGGAAACAGAGTTGTTCATAAAAAAAATCTCTTGATGATTCTTCTGCATCATATGTATTGTGAGATTTAGACTCAATTGATAATGTTATTTTTCATTCATATAGTCAAGTTAAACTTTAACGTTGACGATACTTGGTACTGTGATATATTATATCCGTTCTTTGACTTTTCTTAATCGTTGTACACAGTGTTTTTCAAAGGCATTTAGTGACTATATTTACAGACCAAGGCTTTTCCATTATTAATATAATATTTCTGCATTACCGCATATGTATCTTCGAAAATAATTTAGCACGTATGAATAAAAAAAATGAAAAAAGGAAGAAATACAAAGCGGGCAATAAAAAGCACAATAAAAAAAACAGACAACCCAATGGAGAATTAAAAAACAGACAAGACAAACAGCAATGATTTACACTACAAAGAGAATGTAAGACAACGAAACATAAACCTAGCAAACACCAGGGATGAAGTTAGGTGCTCCGGAAAGGTAATTAGTTCTTACTCCTCTAGTGAAATGGCCGTGCTACTCATTGTAAGTAAGAGTGGAATGATGTAGATCACAATTAAAATATAGAGGAGAACCAGTAAATATGACGCAAAGGGGCGTTTGGACTTGAGTCAAGGCCTTCGAACTTTATCTTAGCGTTAAAGACCTATCATCATTTATAAAGATGAATAAAAACGATACATTGTTTTTGATTGCCATAACCTTATTATGTAGTATTTCATTGGATTGTCTTATAAATACCATAAACCCACTTCCTCCTTTCCCAATGGAATATTTATAACAAATAATATATAAGAAATGATAAGTACAATGAAATATGTTGAGCCTGAGTAACTATACTCTTATTAATTTAATGTTACAATTAGTAAGTAGATGTTGTTTAATGTTATCGTTACAATATAAGTTTTTCGAAAGTATTCTTATTTGTGTGCTTTTACTTTCAGATTGAAATTTACGCTTACAATGAACTATACTTCTTCATATGTACATGATGTATGCTACCAGTCCAAATTAAAGTACAGCAGTTAATGTTATTTAGATTGAAAAAAAATATTTAGGTGTATTGCGTTGGTATAGAATTGGATAACTGTTGTAGTTCTATTCATGCGTAATTTATTTTTGTGTCGTTATTGTATTTATATTCTTCCTTGTCGCTTATATAATAATACTTTTAATATTCATATTTCTATCTTTGTTTACTTTTAGTGTCTTATTAAATTTAATTTGCTTACAAGAGCCCGTCCATTAATTTGCAGACGACCTAAAGAAAGCAACTTGTTCAACCGTCTGTGAGTGCATGCGATCGTGTTCCCATCCACCCGTCCATCCGGTCGTATGTTCGTGTGTATCAGGTGTCGTTGTGACAGTGGTTCGCCTAGGATTGATGATAAACACCACATGTTTACTTATTCTATTAATAATAATCAAAAACTTAAAAACAAAAAAAATATTTAATCGACAGAGCATCATCAAGATATATCTAAATATGAAACTGAAGAGTTTTGCAAAGCACACCTTTTCTTTTTGTAATTCAGAAGATTTTGTAAAAATATCTATATCCAGTACCAGCTGTTTCTTGTAATAAAATTAATTTAACTCGATAAAAGTGTTGTCGATAAAAAGACAAAGGTCTAAATTTGAGAGCATCACTATGCAATAAAAGGGAAAAAAGTAAAGTATAGGAAAAATGAAAATACAATATGGAAATAAATTCATATACATGTAAAATATATATCGGTCAAAAACAAATTACTTCTCAACAAGTCGATGCTGTTTATCCAATGATGAGAAACACGTATGTACCAAAAATCTTTTGTTTGTTGGAATCGCTTGCACCAAAATGTTAAAACAAGGAGATGCAATATGATTTCCCAGGAGAAAACCAAGGGAAAAAGATGTGAACAATGACATTCAACCCCTGTTGGTTTCCATTCATGAAAAAACTTAACATGATATTTATTGGTTAACAATTGCCAAATTCTTGACTTTTTCGACTTTCGATTTTACAATGTAGCAGAGAACACTACTAACCTTCAAGATATTGGTTATATCAATATAAATACACTAATTATTAATTGATTGTGTCCTTAATTTAAAATCTCCTGTAATATAATCTGCCTAGATGGTAACAGAAATGCGTATTGTTTTTTTATGGGATACTAGAAACTGAAATCAAAGTTTCGATAACACATAACGAACATTAAACAATTGAACAATGAAACAAAAAAAAAAAGATAACAAAAATTATTAGAGATTTTCAATATACCACTAATAAACGTTTTGGTATCAAATGTGCTATTTGTCGATGATTCAAGCGCCACTGATGAATTTTATATAGACGAAACGTGCGTTTGGGGTACCTAATTATAAGCTTGTAATCTTTGATGAACTTCTACATCTATTGGACCGATGCCACTATAGTGAACGTTTCGTTCCCAAGGGTATTGCCAGTCCAATAGTTAGCCCTTTTATTTTTACTTTATATATCATTGACACGGAGAAGGGAGGAGGGTATATAAGTCCAACAATTAAAGCATCGATCCAGTGGTATTGAATCAAAATCAAATAATCATGAGTTCTTCCGTCAATGCTGATTCAATTTTGTTTTATCAATGACACTCATTATCTGTTTTAAAATTTTATCTAAATTATAACTGACAGGGATATACTAATCTTCTTCTGAAGATACTTTCATTTCCCTGCAGTTTGTACCCATCACTAGGATATGTGGTGTCTTGTTTATAATTTATAATTTTTAGCTCATCTGGCCCAAAAGGGCCAAGTGAGCTTTTCTTATCACTTTTTGTCAGTCGTCCATCGTCGTTCGTCGTCGTCGTCGTCCGTTAACCTTTACAAAAATCTTCATCTCTGAAACTATTGGGCCACATAAAACCAAACGTGACCTAAATCATCCTTAGAGTAATAAGTTTAAAAGCTGTATCCGATGACCCCGCCCAACAACCAAGATGGCCGCCATAGATAAAAAAAGACATGGGGGTAAAATTCAGTTTTTTGCTTATATCTCTGAAACTAAAGCATCTAAATCAAATCTGACAGAAGTAAAATGTTCATCAGGTCAAGATCTTTCTGCCCTGAAATTTTCAGATGCATCAGACAACTCGTTGTCGGATTGCTGCCCCTGAATTGGTAATTTTAGGGAAATTTTGCAGTTTTTGGTTATTATCTTGAATATTATGATAGATAGAGATAAACTGTACACAGCAAAAATATTCAGCAAAGTAAGATCTACAAGTCAACATGACTAAAATTGTCAATTGACCCCATAAGGAGTTATTGCTCTTTAAAGTCAATTTTTCACAATTTCTCGTAAATTATTGTAATCTTTTACAAAAATCTTCTCCACTTAATGTACTGGGCCAAATATAATTATATTAAGCGACAATTTGCAATAGGGTATCTTGATTGAAAAATGTATCCGATGACCCTGTCATCCAACCAACATGGGCGCCAGGGCTGAAAATAGAACATAGGGGTTTACTATAGAAGTCTTTGGGAAAATTATAAAAAAACAATTTCAAATGGTCACAACTTGAAAACTAATTTAGATAATGATAAGGGGTCTTCAGTAACTATTGTAAGACTACAATGGGATGACCTGCTTTAAATTTAACTACTAGGACGAATTAAACCAAACTTGGCCTCAATCATTATTTGGGTATCTAATACTATTTATTATGATTTTAACCTTATTTTACATGATTTCCCAAACCACAGTTGATACTGATGAGCGACACAGGCTCTTGAGAGCCTCTAGTTGACTAAAATTATTCATTAATCTTGTAACTACCGTTATTAGGTAAACTGTTTAATAAATTAAATGTTAAATTCCAGATATAGACATCTTTTAAAATAAATTAACAATGAACTATGTCGAAAACGTAAAAATAAATTTCAAAACGTCGATTTTTATGAAAATTGACGATTTTCACATACTTGCTCTATTATCCAAGATTAACACATATTCCGTTAAAGTTACAATAGTAACCTTGGCTGGTGACAATCAACATCTGCAATAAAAAATAAATATTATTTTTACTTTAAGCGTTCTACCCTGAACGCGTATTTGGCAAAAGCTCATGCATGTAATTAATAAAAACCAAAACCACTAAATACCTCGCAAACATGTACAATTAAACCAACTCGAAGAGGTCCAAACAACATAGGTCAGCCATGAGTTTCTTCTGTTTCATCTGTCAAGGAATTTAATTGGGAATTTCTGACCCCTGACAGAAGCACAGCTCCGTACATGTAGTGTCTGAAACGACTTTGACAATTTCGGGATTTCCAAACGCTCCGGCAAAGTAAAGATGACAATCAGGTGGAATCAAAGGGGTTCGTCAAAATTTTGAAGAATAAAACTACCAAAGAAATTTAGGAGAGCCTGTTTGTTTTCTTTAACAGACAGCATTTCTTCTGCCCCCCAGGAATAGATTACCTTAACTGTATTTGACAAAAACTTTCGGAATTTTGGGTCCTCAATGCTCTTCAACTTCATACTTTATTTGGCCTTTTTAACTTTTTTGATTTGAGCGTCACTGGTGAGTCTGTAGTAGACGAAACGCGGGTCTGTCGAACACAATTTTAAGCCTGGTATCTATGATGAGTTTATTTCTTCCAGTCAGGAATACTTCTGCCTTCTATAACGCATACACTTTGGTGGAAGCTGTAGTCGTTGTGTGGCGTTCCCATTCAGCACATTTTGTAGAGTTTTTTTTATGTCGTAGCGGTCAAAAACATCGCTACTGTGTGCGCTAGAGTAAAGCATTGAGACATATTTTTATAATAGTCAGCTGCATGGTCACCGAATGTTGTTTTGTTTTCTTAGCATCAATACATTGAACCAATGCCATACCATCTCTGATGTAAGTTGTGAGTGATATGTCAAAGGAAAGTAGAGAAATTGCAGAAGAGACTTCAGATTCGAATTGCTTCACCAAATCAGACTTTGCACATAGTGCCGTCATCGGGAATAAGGGAAACTAGAATGGGACCGACAGGGTGAGCCAGCACCTTTTATATTGTAACACCATCTCTTCAGTTTGCCAAAACCAATGCACGTCTGAATACAAGTACTGGATTTATGTGACCTGAGATTATTTCCCCCCAATTTAAATTTAAGGTTTGTTTTTGAGGTCATATGTTCAAACGTGTTTAAATTTGACTTTGATATTGGACTATCAAAACGCATTGACTGACCTTCAGAATGAGTACTAGTCATGAAATGTTAAGACATGTTTATGATTCCTCAACAGCTGTGAGAAAAGAATCTTGAATATCTCTTGTAGCATGCATGACAGATGAGGTTATTGATTAGACATGGCGGATGTGATTCGGCATCAAAGGGATCAGTCATGGTTTAATTTAGATGGTTCACAATGGCAATACAATAACATGTTCTTCATCTCTTTTCATTGCTGTTGGTCTTGTTTCCACATGTGAATTTGCATTATTTGCAGCAATACCAACCCTTTCTAGCATAACACCACTCAAGGATGCTAGGAAATGTCTGATAAGAATCCATCTAACTAGTGACAACTTTTGATTTGTTATAGCTACAATGCCACCTGATCCCTTTGAGTCTATTATAACAGTATTTTCTGTTGTCGATCTATATACCGTTTAAATGTCCCGGAGTCTGTCAAATAGCAAAGTCACCACCTGTTAAAGCTGATCGAATCTGCTCTGGAAGTTGAAGCATATCGAGTATATAAACTGGCATCCACCTAGAGTAATTGGTACGGTTGGTTACAAAAATATAAGGTAACATTTGATATGACGATCTCAAATGAAGTGACAAAGTACCATCTTGTTCTGCTCTATCATTTGACAGCTTCAAGAAACATATCCCAGTATTTTAATGTAGGTGATGCAGCACATCCCCATTGCTTATATATATCTATAATAGGCTGTATTTGAACTCCGTCAGATAAGGCGTAAGGCCTTGTATCTGGCTTGATTTGTTGGAAATACCACTATGAAAATCCAACAAAGCATTCCAAAAAACATCCGGAATTTTATCAAAGTGATCAACGGTCATACACCAGTGAATAAATGAAG